CCCACCACAGCATCTGGATCAGGCTGTCCTGAAAGCTCTAAATGCAATTATTTCCTAATAGCATATAGCACTCAATGAGTGGTACTAGTGTAATCTATGTCATAGATGAATGTTAAATCCTTAATGTGAAATCCTCTTCGGGCATATTACACTCAAGGTAAGATAAGTGTGTAACTGGTGTTATAGTTGAAAGTTAAACCCTCTTTTTGTAAGTCGCTTTGGATAAAAGCATCTGCTAAATCCACAAATGTAAATGTAAAGGTTGAGGTTGGATGTTGGCTAGCCATCACTACCAAACAGGTGAGTTTTTTTTGTTTGCACTGAAAGATTTTGGTCCATAGAGGAGTTGATGCTCTTAAAGGGTTCACCAGGTCCTCTAGGTCTGTGGCTGCAAAGTAAGCCTACATTTTCAATCCCTTCACCGTTATTACTGAACGATGTGTTTGAGGTGAAATGCACTTATGTGCTGTTTTCATTTTCTCCAAACATGGTGCTGTGCACCACAGTTTGTTCAGAAGCTCATTTTCTTTCAAACCACAGCTTGTCAGAGCAGAAAGGCGTCCTCCACGAGTCTGGTTCCGTTGGAGGTTTCTGTCATGTGTTCTTTTTTTGTGGATTTTGTTTTGTGCTCTATTTTTCCAGTTTTAGTTTTTCTTATAGTTTTTTCTATGGCAGGTTTTGTGCTTTCACTTTTGATTGTTTGGTTCTTTCCTTGACCGTTCCCTTGTTTCTGGGTCCTGTTTTACCCATGTAGTGTCCTCCTCCCTTCACCCTCCTCTGTAATTAAGGAAAGGCAAGTTTAATCGTTCAGCGCATTTCCTACACAACAGCAATTCAAAGTGCCTCACAAGGCATTGATATTAAACACATTGATTCCTAACACGGCTCTCTAACATTGCATCTAAAAGCACTTAATCTTGCCGGGAAACCTGGCACGATAATGAAAGTATCTGCCGTTTCAACATGAACGAGACAAATCAAAGTGGGCTCACAATTTTTGCTTGAACCCACTTTGACAGTTTGAATAGACATGTAAGATTTAAAGTTGTGTTACGATACAGGCAGCGCATCATGATATGCTCCCTCTGCCACTGTTCTTGGAATGGAGAAAGAGAAATGTCAGAAAGTAAAAATGACAGCTGGAGGGGTTGAAATCTCACTGGAAATCTCATCAGAGGAAAGCATTTGAAATAGAAATATATGATGAAATGTTAGTTAGACACATTCAATAAAGTAAATGGTTATGGAGTATCAGCTTGGGCATACTTACACACATAAAAAGCTGAATACACACGCGTATGTGCACATGTTATCCATACAAGCTGTATGATCCTGTGCACAGCATTAAATAATGTGCTCCACATCTTTGTTTCTTCTCCTCTTGGTGCTGAAGTCGTCCAAACATTTGCCCAGAGAAACCCTCCCAACACAGTGAGAATGGCATTAGGCAAAGTGTTCTAATAAGGTGTAGCCAGCGCAGAGATAAAGAGATTATGACAACCAAATCATTCTCTCAAGAGGCAGAAATGTCACTGAGGTTGTGCATCATTAGAGCTGCAATGTAGCCGACTTCTTGTTCTTTTTTTAAAAGAGGGAGATGGGATGTGAATGAGAAACAGTTTTTTAGTTGATAAAAAAGTTTTGTTTTTTTATCTTTTTGTGAAATGAATGAATTGGGAAAAACCTGCATTGCCATTTGTAAAGGGGCATAGAAAAATAAAGAGCAGCACATCCTTCAGTTTTACACCCATCTTTTTATTGCCAGCCTAAACCAGTTTGTAATGATGTACAACTCCATAAGGCTGATTTCATATTTGATAATGGAATGATGATTCTGGGAAGAAATCATAACAGACATCATAACCAGACATCGAGCATTAGACTGACAGTGAGTCTGATAATGGACATCTGGCACCGTCCTTCATATGACTGAAAGAAATATTTATTTGAACTTAAAAAGAATAATTAACATAAACATATCAAATTATTATTTTGTCATACTTGAGTAATATGCAGAACATCTTAAACTCGCAAGATGAAATGCTTTGTGGTATCTGGAGACTCAAATCTTCCAACTTCTTTAGTTTGATTTACAAAATAAAAATACTTTCCTCTTTCTGTTGTGTTGAATATCAGTCATGAAGGTTTTTCACTGTTGCAGCTGATGTGAGACAAACATCATGAATCAGACCATGAAGCCTGACTCATACATCAACACGCACACTGTCATACACAAACAGATGTTTTTGCAAACAATATTCGGATGTTTTTACGGTAAGAACTGATTGTACTCGTAATTGTTTATGGATTCAGAGGTCTGAACCCAGATGCATGGTCCCTACCATTAAATCGCCAGTTGTATTATTCCCAGTAGCAGTTTTACCGTGTCTCCCTGGTTTGTTTTGTTGTTGTTGGTTGAAATCTCTATTTGTTTTAGACCTACTGTGCTGCACGCGCCCTACAGGTGCCTCCACTGTCTTTGTGCTTCAGTCTGCTTTAAAACAGAAAGTGAGCAGATCCCTGTTGTTTTTCTATACGACCATTTTCTATACCAGCTTGTTCCCATGTAGGGACACAGGGGGGCTGGAGCACAGCCCAGCTGTCATTGGGCGAAAGGCGGGGTACACCCTGGACAGGTCATCTGTCCATCCCTGCTGTTTTTCACTCACAAACAACTTCATGCCACACATCACAAGTCATTTGTAACTTTACAGAATTGCAAATGATTGAATAGCTGGTTATTTATCACGTGACTCTCATCTTGCTTGAGAAAATTCCTTAGAACCATCCCTAAATTATTTACAATTACATGAAAAATGCTGCCTCAAACCTTTTGTCTTTTCTTTCTGTTTTTTTTTTTCTCTTTTAAGCTTAACTGATTTAACAGTTCATTTCAGTTTGCGACTGAAATAAGTTCATTTGTCCCAAAAAAAAAATCTTCATGAATTCTCCAGTAGGCTGCTGTGGTTAAATAACTGCCAAAAGGAGGAGAATAGAAAGCGGGGTGCTATTTTTCGCTGCAGCTCCTGAATGAAAGAGCTGGTTTGCTCACCAGCTGCATCAGGTAAGTGACTAAACCTGCAGGCTGACACCGTGTGAGCAAACGAAGGTCATTTCATCAGCACCGCTCTGTTGTCCTCCACTGTAAATGCTGTTTATCTTAATTAAAGGATACTGATCTCTTCTCACCTGCTATTTATGATCTTTAAAAAAAAATCAAGCTGCTGTCCGTGACAGTTTTAAACAAACAAATCACTATAGGTGCTTATAATTGTTGTAATCTCCATTACACACATTTTGCACATTTTTGATGTGTCAGCTATTTTCAGAACAGCTGTTGACAGCATCCCAGCAATATATATCACGCTAAAACTCAATCAAGGCGGGACAGACAAAAGGGGAAATTAGGCACTCTGCTGGAAATAGTGTTATGTATACATCTGTTTATTTTGGTCCAACATAGTTTTCAGGCTAATGATAGCCTTTGCTGCTCTCTATCATATTGAAACAAAAATCCACAGAAATAATAATCTGACACATCCAACAGAGGGAAAGAGGGCCATGAGGAAAGATGTCTAATGGACTAAAACAGCTACATGAGTGGCATGAGGTTGAGATACTGATACTTCAGTCACTGTAATTAAATATGCTTCCCTCTTCAACATACATTTTTCTTTGTCACAACACTTTGAAAGGCTCAGCCTTGCAATTGATGACTCATATTCTCTCCTTTTATCACCTATTTTAATAGGACGTTTACTTCCCATTTCAAGACGATAACTCAAATGAGATTAGATCCGATCTTAGACAAAATAACGAGAAAATTCAAGTTGAGAGGTGTCATAATGGAAGGAAAGGAAGCCTAATGTTAACCTACTTGTGTTCGTTTTGAGAAGCATGTCCTTATTTGATGTTGAATGTTGGAATATAAGTCAAGTTCCCTCACAAGAAACTGTTGTGTTATGCAAACATGTAAAGTTTGACCTGATGGTCAGTAGTGAAATCATATGGTCAGTTTGCTCTACACATGTGTATAGTTTCTATATATATATAGTTATAGTTATAGTATAGTATAGTTTCTATAATCATTACTTATGTGATTACGAGATCATTGCTTATATACATTGAAGGGCAAGCTGTGTGAAAAGTGTAGGAGACTTCCTCCCATGGATAATTATCAGACGGCACACTTTAACTGAGAAAGTCTGTGTAGTGCAAATGTATTTTTGCAAATGCGTGTTTGGTGCCATCTGGTGACTTCAAGCTCTGTAACTGAGGGATGTCTGTCAAGTCCCAGGCATGTGATAAATGGAATGGAGCAGCTGCCAGAACATTTGCTGGCTGATGAAAGAACAAGCACACTGCAAAACATACTTAATTGGGAAGACCTCTGGCCTTGTAATCATATGGATAAATATAAAGAGGTAGTGTTCTATGCTTTGTTACATAATTCATGTTTTTTGTAAGGGAAAAGGGAGTGTCCCCTCCTCTCCACAGAGGGAGTAGAGTCATCTGGAAGACTCACATGTAGATAGTGTGTGGAAATGTGTGAGAGAAATTGAGAGGTTCCCGTAGGAATCTGTCGCTGGCCCTCACCTGCAACAATAATCCATTGAGCAATGCCTTGGCAAAAGTTTCACCCCAAGCAAGACACAACATGAAATGTTTTTGTTGCCAATTGGGAAATCGCATATTGTAAGACTCAATAGAAACCGAGGAAGCAGTGAATGGTTCGATGACAAAATTATGAAGCAAGATCAAGTCAAGTCAACCTGAAAATAAATAAAACAACTTACAAGTTTCACAGTTTATTATTACTACACAAGTTTATATCTTTGTATTACATTCCCAAAGGACTTTTTCTTTTTGTCATGATTCTCTGTAGTGTGAGCTTAACTTTCAGTGGGCACGCCCGTGTTAGTGTTGAAACAAGTACTGTGGAGGTGTAATCAGACAAGAGAGACTCTCTCCACCTCCTCACAGGATCTGAGGAAGAGAACTTGACGCTGCTGTCTGGCGACACGCTGGTGTTAAACTCTAAAAGGTAAATATGATCACACCTAGTTAGGGAAAGAATATCACTTAAGTATGCTTTGCTTACTGTGTTAGAAAAAAGCTTCATTATTTTTGAACATTTTTCTCTTATGAAAAGTGTTTGCAACAGACAGGAGAGGCACGCGCTTTGACTAATTCAAAGATGAGATTCAAAGCTGAATTTTTCGACATGCCACAATACATGACTTTCTGTTTAATCTTAATATAATCTGTAGGAGTAAATGTTAGTAATGGTATACACATATGTATATAAATCTTAGGTAACGCCTGCTAAATGGTGATATATTTGAAGATTTGCTGTTTTTCTGCTTTCAGTTACTCTCCACCTGAACTGAAGATGCCACACACTGCAGAGGCTGTGTCAGCCACTCTCACCACCAACAGAAACTGCACCCTAGAAATAACTAATGTCAGCAGGAGCTACTGCCTCATCAACCCCAAGTAAGCTTTAATTCCCCCTGTAGTCTGAGTTTAGAATCTATAAAGTTGATTGAATGTACAGTATTCATGAAATCAAACATTGGTTGACATATCTCTGATCATTTCATTACTATATAATGACATGCAAGTTAATGTTTTAATACTAAAAACTTCAACATTAGATAGCAAAACTATTATCTCTTGCTGGCAAGACTATTCACTACAAATAGTGAGGCCCGTTGGTATTTAGAGAATTTTGATATAATTTTGTTGCAAATGGATCTTACAATTTGTGGTCACATCATGATAGATACATTTGAAAAGCACGCACCACCCACTGCAATTTCCGATCATGCAGCATTTATACAAATACAAATAAAAAGAGAATCGGAAAAAGAATTCTTCACCTCTATTGTAATTTGAGTCATGCCTCAACATTTATCTAGCTCTGGCAGGACAGGCCATATTTTGGATGGCTGATTTTCACATGTGACATTACTTTGCTGAGAACATCCACCAATCCATCATGGAATGACATGTGCTGCCTCATTGCACATCTCATGCAGGTACACTCACTGTTACTTAGAAGTCCACAGTAGTACTTCCAGTCACACTCCATCCATCAGCATAAGCTCTTTCACCCAGGAAAGCCCAATATTCAAAAAGTACATTGACAGGATGCCCAAAACTTAGTAAAAACATGCAGTGTTTTTGTGTTTCACTTTTCATCAAAAGTATTGCAAGTGTCATGTAAGTTTTGATGTGATTAGCAGTGATGGTAAACATTCATCTCTCCATCTCCTATACAGGGTGTACATGACAAGTGGCTTCTCGCACCATCCCCCGCAGCCCACAGTTCGGCCCACCATGACAGAAGTGTGCTCCTTCACCAAGGATGACAACACTGCCACGGGCGCCGTGGGCCTGCTGACCTACGACCTGTTCCACTTGCAGAGCCGGGTTTGCTCTGAGCGCGTGGCTATCATGTTCTCCGTGCCCTTTGACCGAAACCTGTACAAAAACCGGCTGGCCGTGGGTGTGGTTGAGCATTCCCACGCATGCGATGAAAAGCTGTACGACAAGATGTATGATGGGAAAGATCTCAGCAGCCTCGCCCGCTCCGAGGGCGCGGGCGGGCTGGAATATGGAGCAACATATGTTGACTTGAGAGCTACAATGTCCACGGTTGGGAAAGCTATCGTTAAAATCGAGCTTTACGATAAAATGGGCCGTTAGCGTGCACTCCAGTGGGGGATTCACATTTATATGCTTTGGTGGGGGGGGTTTTCACAGAGTGTATACACTTTATTTGATGTGACCACTGTTGTCATCTTGAAAAACATTCAAGGGAGGAAGAGTGATTTTGCTGTCATCTGTATTTTGTGTCTGCTGAGAGATATCAATATCTGACAGCTAGCTCATTGATTCCCCATTAACTTCTGCCTTTGACTCATGTACGTTGAACACTCCCTTCTCTGTGATTATGATAATAAAACATTCATACCCAATGCTTGTGTTACTTTGTTTTGAATATGTTTTTACCCCTTATGGTTTCATTATAACTGATGAACAGTAATTATTTTTTAATCTTTTATCGAGATCCATCCAACTCTAATGAGTGGTAGCAGATGGAATGTCTGCATAGATGTTTTTTTAATAGGTGCAACGCCACAGTTTTTTTTTTGTCGAGTGTGTGACTCTCCCTCTCCTCCTCATGTGAGAAATATGGGAAACAAAAGCTTTCAAGAAAAAAACAAAGAAAGAGTCATGACGCTTCTGAGATATAAGTCCTGACTTGCATTGTTTGTTTGACTTTTGTCTCTGGCATCTATTGCACAATTCCAGAAGAAGAACTTCTTTTTCTAGATGGTCAGGTTTAAACGGCGCTGGGACAAAAGTGACAGCAGTTAAGATAAATATTGGAAACTCCTCCACAAAAGGGTGTGGATGTTTGATCAAAAGAAGGGGAAAATAACACAAATATTTGTTCTTAGTTGTGTGGCCTGTTGCTTGGTAATAGATATATGAAGAAATAGGGTGTGCCTCATCCAAACTGGCTTATGTTGCAAGCGGGTGGGAGGAGCAGACATCTCTGAAAAAAGAAAAGAAAAAAGATACCAGTAAGGTAACTTCTCCCATTTTCCCTCTTGAAGCACTTTGGGGTTTCTGAGCAGGTAAGTGATATTTTATTAGAGATAAGGTTTTAAGGTTTTACTTCGACTATTATCTCTTATGGTTGGTAAAAGAAAGGTGTTCTTATCTTATGTTTTCAGTCTCTTCATTATTGCCTGGTATTTAAGGTCATTATTAAAGAGGCGCACTTTCTCATGAGAACTTCACCCGTTTAATAATTGTTCAACACTGTTTCAGAATCTCATTAGCCTATATATGCTTTATTCATACTCAGCTGTGGTCAATATGTGCATTTGAAGGTCGGTGTGACGCTGCCAATAGAATTTTTCCAGCAGAGCAGAGGTCAAGAAAATATTCTTTAATGTAATAAATGCAATTCTCACGGTTCCCAGTGTGCTCTGGGGGACAAAAGCATGCTAGATTTACATACGCTTTTGTGGTTCATCAGGCTGACACTGAAATCACCTTCATTTTAAAAGCAGATATCAAGACTAAAGCAGCATGACGGAGTCGGCTGAAGCTGTTGCAGCTGATGTGAGCAGCAAGAGGAGTGTGACCATTGAAATCACGAATCTCAGCAACAATTATTGCCTCATGAACCCCAGGTAAGTGCTGTTTTGTGTAGTTTTTCTGGATGATTGGATTAAGTCTTTAAACAGACAAATGTGTGAGACGTCTATATTTGTGTACTGCTCAGGGTTTTCCTTGATAATGGGGAGTCATACAACCCACCTCAGCCCTCAGTGCGCCCCCTGAAGACGGAGGTTTGCACCTTTACCAAGTCCAGCGGGAGAGCGACTGGCAGTGTTGGAGTCATGACCTACGACCTTTTCGAGAAGTCCAAGAATGACTACATTGAGTCTCTTGCCATCATGTTCTCCGTTCCCTGGGACTATAACTTTTACAAGAACTGGTACGCCATCGGCGTCTATAAGAAGGGCCGCAAATGTGACGAGAGCTTGTACAAAGAAATGTACTATGAAAAGAAAGAGCAAGAGCACGGGTTTGTCAGAGCGGAAGCCAATGGGTCAGGAATCAATTATGTGGGTAACTACCTTGACATAAAAGCCACCATGAGTCCCCTGGGCAACGCCATCATGAAGGTGGAGGTGTGGGAGAAAGTTTTCACACCTATGGGTCAGCAGGCATATTAGTTCTAATAGTTCTGTTGTGAGAGCAGATTTATCCCCTCCTCTCCATAACCATGCACACCAAAAACGTCTTCCTTTGCAGTGAGCGTGCACGATTTAACAGATGTGTTTTTGCTAACACGGGTCTGTATCCCTGGGTATTACCCCCCCCCCCCCCCCCCCCAGTAAATCAGCTTAAGATCACAGTTTGGTTAGTTTTTAAATCCAAGCAGAAATATCTCCTCTTTGTTGTCACAGCTCTCTGTATTTCAATAGCCTTCAGTTTTACACAAGCTTCTTTAGAAATGAGAATCAAAGGATGACTCAACCAAGGATAGGGCACATGGCTTGATGAAAACTGAGTGCTCCTCTGTATTTACCTTGACACTGCAATTTTTGGAACAATATAAACCTTTTTGCTGAAGCTAATTGTGTGTTTGAGTGTCTACTGATTTACTTTGTAAGAACACTTTAAAAGAAATTCGGTTTTAGACCATAATATGTGCAAATACTGTAGTAACAGTAAGGTCTGACTTTAATGTGGAATTAAAAAATTAAAACATGAACAAGAGTGAAAATGTTTTATTTTTATTCATTTAAACAGAAAGTAGACTTCAGTCATCATGACAAAACAAATTATCCATTAAACTTTCCTTTTCTACAAGTCAATGAATTCAATGAGAAAAATTTGGATTTTAATCAAACTGGATTGCAATTTAGCAGACTGAATGAACCATGACTCAAATATAATTTTACTATATCTGCTGAGTATGTTATAAGCCTCACTGAAAACTTTGTAACTCTTTAATTAGAAAAAAAATTCTAATATTGATGTCTTACTTTATGATCTAGTTATTTAGCTCTGATAACAATACCATATACATATTTACACACAGTATCAATCTCGTGAAAACAGTGACTTTCAATGAAGGACTGAGAATATTTTCTCTTTAATTTACATCTCAAAGGAAGATGGCAGGTTCCACTGATTCTTTATACAATCTCATTTTATCTTCCTGATTCCAGTTACCCGTTACATTTATGATGCCTCTGAAGGATTCCATGCTCCAGCCACAACGAAGCCCAGATCAAAGGTTTTGTTCACTGTCACCATCTCATTTGCATAAAAGCCGTGCATAATATAGAAGTATAATCTAGGCTTGTTTAGACTCAGTCCTTAAAGCCTTGTTGAGTGACATATTGGAGTAATGACTCACAGTCCCTGGGAACAGATGGCCACATTAAGCAGAAACTTTTGTTAGTCAAAGCTTTAAAATGAGGATAAGTTCCCATACATTTCGCAGATATTTTTCTTTTCGATCTCCTCTTCACGTTTTCACAATATAAGTCTGCTTTTCATGTTTTCTATGCTGAATGTGTTTTTGAGCAGCTGTTTCTATTTTACCGTATTTGTGTGTTTGCATGCTTTCAAGGCGGCTATCTCACAGTAGGGACACGTCTACCTGCAGATATTTTTTATCAAAGGATTTCTATTTATACATTTGTGATTTGTATTTTTAAAACTGAAAAAAAAAACCTTTTAAAAAAAGCACGGGATTAGATGTCTTAAAAAGGGAAACAAAAGATATGGTAAAAATGTGTTATTGTGTGTTGCTAAAGCTAAGAAGCTCAGCATTAGTGGATTAAAACAGGTGTTATTTACCTCTGAACGAGAGTGGAAAGCTGTTTTTCCTGCTAAAAGCTTTGGTGAAAATCTGTTCAGGATGTTAAAAGGATAGGGAGGAGGATGAGTGCGCCTTTAAAGTTGGAAAGAGAAAAAAAAATCTGCTGATCACTTTAAAATAACAGCAAAGCTCCACTCGCACACACTGCTGGAAAAAGTAAAGATGAGCAAGAGTTTTTGTTCTTAACATACCAAGAGGCAAATTGTTAAAGGCCTAACACTTGGAAAAACAGGAGCCATATAAAGCTGTTTTAGTCTTTATATCCAACACAGATTTCTCTCTTGGAATTTTTTTGTAGTATTGTGCTGGTTTCTCTATATTTCTGTATTGTATTGCCGATTGTTGAACAAAAGTTTAGTAATTTTAGTTATTTTGGAACATATACAATGTATGATCCAGTTCTAAGGACCTCAAGGAATGTAATGACTGTACTTTACAGAGTCAAACCCGATTACCAAAGCAGAGATAAAGTGACCAATATACTTCTTCATCCCGTATTGAAAATGCCATGTAGTTAGCTGCTTACCAGGTATTTTCATTCCTTAAAGTCCTCAGGAGAATGCTGCAAGGATGCAATTTAAATGTCCCCAGCCACAGAATGCACTCTCAAAGACTGCCATCTAGAGGCTGTCTCTCACAATAAATGTATTTCCAACTGGCCGCAGAAACTCTCCAACCTTTTCCGTCCTTCGATAGTTCCTCTTCCTTTCTTTTCTCCTAACACCAGCTCTAAACACGTCTTGACATCCAGCAGGGCCTGGTAGTCTCTGATAGTTCGTTGTGTGTCTGACTCGATGTGTCAAGCTGCAAACAGGCACCAGCAGCCCCATCGCTGAAGCTCCATTTCAGGCTTCCATGTCAAGTCAGTTTCTTTTCTCGAGAATCAGTAAAAATGAGTCGAAAGAAGTCAAACAACTTTAGGCCTAGCTGGAGTCTCACCGAGCCAGTATGTTTGTTTTGTTTTTAAATTTATGTGGGCCATATTTCACAGGCATTTCATTTTTCTTTTGGTTGATATTTGGGGCAAAAAGCTGTGTTAATTCTGGCAGGCAGTAGGACTGATTTCACCATGTTAGTTTGTTATTTTGAGATCTCTCAGGAGGCAGAGTTACATTTGAGGTAGAAATGTATTTTTTTGTGTTTTCACAAAGAACTTTTTAAGCTGTTAGAAGTGTGTACATATGTGCATATTCATGTGTTGTTAAACGCTGAAGCTGCCGATTTCCCATTTTTAACAACCATTTGTACTATCATGATTTGAATTGTGGAGACTACAGAGGAGACTAGAAAATGAGATGCCCATATGTTTGGGCAAACTGTAATAAACAAAGCACTTAGCAGTAGAAAAACATCTTTCACTGTGACTACAGGGAGAAAAAAAAGCATAATTCGTTCCCCACTTTAATCTCACAGTTCTTGTTTTTCAGTCTGAAATTGATTATTTTCTCATTGTTTTATTTCTGATTAATCATTTTTGCCCAAGTTGTGAAACTGTATTTTTAAAGAATAGAATTTCTGAAACCACAGATCGTCTTGTTGCGTCATATCTTCAGCAAATAAATTCAATAACCTAAAAGGGATGAAATATTTTACTACTAACCAAAAATGGCAAGGAATATCTCTAAATAAATTTAAATAAAGTTAAAGTATTCATGGCTTAGGGGGAGAAGTTACCATATTATTCAAACTAAGCATTTTTAGCTATAGTTGATATATGAATTGTACTTTATAGGAAATGTTCTAGCCTAGCTGACGCCTCAAAGCGCAATTAGGGGTGAAGAAGCTTTTTTCTCTGCTACAGATTGACACAAATCAGTGGGGTGCATAGTGTTCAGCCTCATGCCCAAGGTCAGTTCAGCATGTGGTCCAGGGAAGCTGGGATTGGCAGATGACTGCTTCATCCTTTGCCACAGTTGCCCTTTTGCTTGTTATGACAAACGTTTCTTGTCATCTGATTGTATGTGCATTATCTGGTGGCTTAATGCAAAACTCAATGTGCACCAGCAGTTGGCAGAAAAGCAAAGGACTGACAATTTACATGCTTTTCAAGCTTTTCGTGCTTTTCAGGCTTTGGACTCTTTTGAAGGTGCACTTAAAATTAGTCCAAAGCATTCCATTTCAGGGTTGAAACCTTTCCATTAAGCTGCTTTAGTATCTGTACCTGCTGTGTCTTCTTTGCTGTTTTCTTAAAAGGTTATAATGCACCAGTGTTCTGGGTTTGAGAGACATTCTGTTGTTCCATGTCGAGTGGATGTAGATCTACAAAAAAAAGTGCACGGTTACTGCCTTTCATGCAGTTTTCTTTGTGCACCTATTAAGGAAACCTTCTTTTTTCTGTTTTTCTCCACTCATTTGATGTGGTACTATACATGAATTATGCTAGTACCATCTAGCTGTTTTTCAGCCAAGACTATGTTTTGTGTTATGTCTTGTTTCATGTTGTGCTATGGCAGTGGCTCTTATTCCTCATCACATCGTTAAAGGTAACCTTCAGGCTGATGCAGTCCCTTTTCCTTATCATCATAAACAAACTGTAGAAGAATTACACGTAACATCACTCAGAATTTCAGATGGCGGTCAAATAAGGTAACTCGTGCTTTGGATTTTTTTCTTTTTGGTTTGTTTTGTTTATTTTGACCGATAAGGCGGTAGTTTTGTTGAAAGAAACATATTTGAATGCACAGTCATCTGCTGCAAACGTGATGTCAGCCAGCTAAAAGGTCAGCTCCCACTCATCAGCTGCCTAGCGCTCACACAACAAAGTAATTACTCACGTCATACCAAATGACTCGCATCAGTGGACGTGATATTTTGATTTTCATCAATTCTGGCAGAACGCCAGTGTATACAAGTGACCATGAACCTGGAGGTGAAAAACTAATACATCGATAACTTATCAATAGCATACAATTCCCTCGGCATTGGTTGACTCTTTGGTGGGTGAATAGCACCCCTTACTTAACACGATGACATTGGTAGACATCGGTGCCAACGTCCCAGTACACTTGTTTGCCTGGAGCTGCCAAAGAAAGCAGCAGTCGATACAAAGATGTCTTTTTACCTGCCGTCCTGCTGACCACTCATCCGGATCTCTTGGACAGAAAAGTAATCTGCTCCCACAGTGAGGGGACTTGGGGAATCTCCAGCACACAAACTAAAACCCACCATCTAAAACTGAAGCTGCAGCTGAGACTGAGGGAGGTCAGATAACTTTTTTGTGCTGACCAGGCAGTCCATATAAATTACTGACAGCTCCACAAACCCACCCACTATATTAAAGTTTGTTAATATGGTTAGAGTAGTTGAATCACCACACAAAAGGGGCATGGATGTCTGCACTGTGCCAGAATTTTCTAATTTGTCAATATAAACTTTTCCTGTTTTCTACGCTGTGCCTGTTAGATCTGTACAAATCATATGAGAGAGGTTTTCCTGCTCACATCAGGAAAGCTGCAGAGCCTTGCTGTATCCGAATCAGATGAATGATATAAGTTAAGACATTGATATTGGTTTTAGATGTGACAGTAGAGCTGTCCACTAGGGGGCAAAGTTTTGTCGTGCATTGTTAACTGACTTTGGACACTCAACATTTGATATATGTATGGAACATTATATAATATTTGCAAAGAACTAAAATAATCAACTGATTTACCTGGTGAGATAATGGCGTCAGAAACGGCATCTGGTTCGCAGCAACATTGAGTTATTACAGAAGAATTGCATGGATCAGAAGTGGGTGGGAATGAGGATGACCTGGGTTTTAGACAGGAAAAAGGTCACCAAACACACTTTCCCACCCATCCCAAATGGACATGAACACTTTCAAACACAGTAAAAGGCCCTCAGCTTTGTGCTGCGTTTGCCAGAGGATGTGATACATGATGGCCGTCACTGCCTCCTTTTGTACAGCAGCCCAGCAAATCCGCCACGATATACTGCACTCTGAAGACGCAGGTGAAATACCACCTGAGGAGACATCATTTAAAAAGCCAGGCCATCTCCAGTACCCTCAAGAGGAAAGAGTGTTTAATAAAATAAAGCTTGTAAACCAGTACCGTCACCAGCGTGAGGCAACCTTTTACCATGTATAAATATATATATAATACAGATAGATAGATAGATAGATAGATAGATAGATAGATAGATAGATAGA